TGACGCCATAGACATATGTAGTTCAGCTCGGCAGGTCACGTCGTCCGAATGGACGAAAACCCTCCCGGTCTGAAGGTATTGGACACAGTAACCGCTGGTTTAACTACAAAACAAAGGAGGACTCTCAGTTTGGGGAAGAAACGGGTAGAGGAAGACCTGGGCTCAACTGAAAAGAATTGGCTGGAGCGCTTAGTTGATTCGGTACTGATACTCACCCCGACGGGGGCGGGTGATCGTGATTTTGAAAATAATTTTGAAATAAATTTTCTATAATTCTTGGCTTTCGGGCTTCGCCATATTTCAGAAATAATTTAGAGTTTTCCTAAAGCTTTTTTGTTTTTTGGATTCAATAGGTTTGGTAGAGACGATCGTCTTATAGTTAGAGAGTGAATGAGGATTATAGTGTAGGGCAACTAAACTAGATTACAATGGACCTTCGTTAGACCTAAATGTAACTCTATTTCCATATCTATAGCCACTCTTTCCTGCTAGTCTACCTCTCCAATGCTTCTATGAGACTTTCCATGTAAGTTCAAGAAGAACGAGAGATAGACCCAACAAAATGTATATCAAAATAATCGGAATGACGAGTTGTGCTGATTTGGCCATCTCCGTCTGACCGTCAATGCGTCTGTTTGGACGGAAACTTGTCCCTCAATTCCACGGATATTTCAACGAAACTCGTTCACAAAAGCACTGGAACCGGTCGGTTTGAACACCTATAGCATATCAATATACGACCGATTTTTCAGATTTGAGGTTTTGCTCGTAAATTCGATAAAGAACTCAACTGAGAGCTGAAAATCATCGAAATGGGAAAACTTTATCATATCGCCATATCACCAAACAATTTTCCAGATATGTGAATCAATATTTAATCCAAAAATAAAATAATGTGTGATCATAAAAGATTTCGGCATGACCGAAGACATCTTTTTATTATTATTCTTTTTTCTTTTGTTTAAACTAAATTTAATAGAACCGTAAAAGACTCTCTTAATCAAATAGCTATAATTGTTAAAAACTGTCTAGAAAATGATCGGAGCAGCAAAGAGAATTTTTTTTGGGGTTTCACGGTATGTCTATGCGGCAGTGGGCGTGATCTTAAAGATTGTTGGTTGTGTGGCTTTGATTCCTTATAGTAACTTTGAATGAACCGTCTCCACGGAATCAGCTCAGAAATTTCTGATAAGGAACTAAGTTTCGTTACTAAAGTTTTCTTACAATTGTGAGTGCATACATACATATACATATTGTATATATATATAGTATGTATGCTCATAGAAGCCTTGTGGCAAAGAAAAATTCGTTCTGAACAAATTTTTTTTTTTTTAATTTTGCCTTTTTTTCATGACGAGGAAAATCCTCTTAAACATATCAATCACATTTCTCAACCAAAATTATGTGAACTCGCCGCCGTTAAGACTAACTTTTTCTCCACATACACATATGTACATTCCACAATTGTCGGCGCGTAGCATTCTTGGCGTCTTTCTTTGCTGTCTTTGTAGCCTCGTCTATTGTTTGGCATGAGGTCCGTAATGCATATTGATTTGTTCAAAAGTTCATTTTCTACTTTTTCTACTATTTCTAATATTTGTATTTCATGTGTTGAAAAATGTTTCCATAGTGAGAGAAAACCAATGACAAGTTTGGTTCCTTTTCTTTTCACTGCTTTCAAACTTTCGTCATTTGAAGAATTCTTGACACGCCACGCTTATTTAAATATATTTACGAGTGCATACTCACCGCGCCAGTCTGTAGGTGCCCCTTGGGAGCTTGTCTAACACACAACGAATTTCTAAGCATATATGCACATAAGTTTGTACATGTATGTGCATATGTACTCATGCATATTGCATTCAGCATCTTTTCTCGACTGCTGTTGCCGTTGTTGCTGCTGCTGCTGCTCGGCAATCTGTCGTCATTGGGACGTCCCCATTTTTATTGTGTGATAATTTAAGATATCGGGAATGCATAATAAATTATGCTTAACCAAATTTATATGACTGAAAGTGCAACTGATTATGCTTGCGTCAACTTTTTTTTTTTATTATAATTTTCTTTTTCTCATTTTCATTTTGTATAATGATAATGTTGTTCTTATTGCTAAGCCGCAAAGAGTTTGGCTCCAGCCTTATTTACATTTTAATGTCCAAATTAGATGGGGGTTTTTTCGGTTGCTTATCTTGGTTGTTGTTGCATGCAAATGTAGGCATAGAACAACATACATACATATGCATATTATGTGTGTGTACATATGTATGTATGTATGTACTTATGTATAAGTTGTTGACTTATGTTCGATGCTAAACATATAGCAGACGAGTATATGTTGTGCATGCATACATATGTACAGATGGAGACATATGTATGTGCATATGTACTTGTATTAATAGTTATCAGCGGTGATAACAAAGTTAAATTAAATTGAACGAATTCACTAAAATGCAGCACAGTGGGAAAATTATGGACAGTTGTTCGATGAAGATGGCAACTAAGTAAATATTAAATTGGTGTGAGGAATTCAATAAAAAAAAAAAAATAAAAATAGCCACTTAGTCCGTTATTTATAATAAAAACACTGACACAAAAATTTAGAAATTCCAAAATAAAAAAAAATTCTTACTTTTTTTTGGCGTTTTGTAACCGCTGTAGCGATTTTTGGCCTCTTCTATTAATATAATATATTAATGTATGTGTGTAACTTTGGTACTTACACTATCCATAATATATTAGTACATTTTGTTAGTTTAGTTTTCGAATTTATTTTATTCCATTCTTATCTGTTTTTTTATATTATTATATTTTTTGTTTTAATTTAATTAAATTTAAGTTATTATATCATTTCATTTTATTTTATTTTATTTGAAATTAACTAACTAATATTTAATTTTTTTTGTTTTAAATTCATATTATTATTTTTATGTTTTTAATGCTATTTTATTTTATTATATTATTATATATGTATATAGTCTAATTTATTTTTATTTTAATTTAATTTTACTTTTTTTATTCATTTTTGGATTATATATTTTTATAAATTTTATTTATTTATATCGTTTTAAATTTATTTTTATTTTTTTACATTTTTTATATTTTTTTAATGCTATTTTATTATATTATTTTTATATATAGATATTGTATGGTTTCTTTTGTTTTAGTTTGATTAAATTTTAGTGTTTTTTAGTCTTTTTTGTATTATATATTTTTGTAATTTTTTAATTTTTATTTAATTTTTATTTTTCAATTATTGTAATATAATATATTATACAATAATTAATTTTTAATTTTTGTTTTAGTTACATTTAATTTCACCTCACTTAATATTACTTATTTTAATTTATCTTAAAATAATTTATTTATTTTATATTTTTATGTTATTTTATCTAAATTTTTTTATTGATTCTTTTTTTCTGTTTTTGATAACTTTTTTTTTTAATCTTTTTTAAATTTCTTTTTTAAATTTTGGACTTTAAACTTATTGTAATTTCATCAGTTTAATTTAATTTAATTTATTTTGTTGTTGCTGTTGTTGTAACCGCTAAATATTAACCGAATTAGTTTTCGGGGAATATTGCCGGCGTGACAGTCCTTGGCCGGATAAAAATCGGGGTCGTTTCGGTCTAAAGATCTGACTGTCGCAGCAAATATTGGGTTTTAGTCGCCTCTTAAGATGGGCATGCCTTAAAACGGGTAAATTCTTGAGCTCTTAATCCGCGGGGGCTTTTATTTATTTTTTTTATCAATTGTTAAATTTTTTTTTTGTTTTCTAAATTGTTTAATTTAATACTTTTAATTTTAGCCTGCTTTTTTTAATTTAATTTAATTTGTTTTTTAATATTTTATTTGAATAAAAATGTATTTAATTTTATTTTTCTTTATCTTAATTTATTTAATATTTTTTTTTATACTGTTTTGAGTTATTTATTTCGCTATATTTTATTTTGTTAATTTAATTAACTTTAATTTAACTTAACTTTTATATTATTACATTTAATTCAGTTTTCCAATTAATTATTATATTTAACTTTTTTTTTTTAATTTAATGTCTTATTTTTGGGGGTTAACTTTGGCACAGACGCGGACTACACAAAGGTCAACTGCTCTTTAGTAAGGGTTTAAACTTTTATGCAAATATTTAACATTGCTATCATCGAGTCTCCTAACAATATACAGATCACTACCTAAATCTCATTGCATAACTTACTAATGGCACTTCTAAAGCTGGAAAATGTGTGGTTATACATACATATCATGAAAGGTGTATGTTCGTAAGATGATCTTTTGAATAAACATTTAGTAAACAATCTTGCGGGCGTAAGACAACTTAAACTCATAAATCTTCACAATTTTCAGACACGCTATTTACATTCAGAATGCATACATTGTACTCGTACGTGTAAGTATATATGCATGTATGATTACATAGAGTGTTTGTTTGACTGCTCCTATTTACCTAAGTTGACACTCGCATTTAAGTGATGATGTATGGATGTGCCTATGTATGTATGTACATATTTATGTTTGATTTCGAGATATATTTGTTTATACATATATATGTATTTATAAACTTGGGTTAAAAAATAAAATTATGTACACACAAATATTATTCAAAGAAAAATCTTAAAGGATGCCAATTTTTTCGACAATCGCACTTGTAATTTTTAAATTGATATATCCTGTTTAGAGATCTAAATTATGTTTGTATTGTCGAGTGTGCGTTACCTAAAACAATTTTTGTACTGAGAGCATATTAAAATTATTATTAGAAATATGTAAAAATTCGATATTTTTTAAGGCTCGATCTCGTACAGATGGATTATATTTATATAATTTACAGTACGAAAAAAATCATGCTATAAAAATATAACAATAACAGTGAAATTTTTTAATCAAACCTGTTAACTCGCATAACTCTGTTAATTAACATACCCATTTATGCACATTAATATCTGTCAGCTAACAGCACATATTCTCCACTCTTTCTTATCGTACAGTGCCGATGATCAACGCCGCTGTTATAAAGCGATCTTTAGTAGAGACAAACACCATTGCTAGTACACCTACCATTGATGAAACGAATGCAAACACACCACCAGCTGGAGTTGGTGAAATCGATTTCACCACTGTTAACACACCACTCTTAGCGAATAAACAAACCGCTGATAATTCGAATGAAAGTGACTCGAGTGAGCCTACTGTGGCGCCATCGGAAATGCTTATTTCTGTTGAACCGGAAACGACTACAGGCAGCAGTTCTACAATTACAGTGAACACCACAACTGCGGAGTTCGGCACCGCTACCTTGCATGTGCCACAAAATGTTAGTAATGATATACCCAAAACTCTAAATGAAGGGTATGAAGGGCAACGGAATATAAAACAAATTTTTATTGAATCAAAGTTCGACAATGCTGACGCCGTATTGGTTGAAGGTCTTGGCAATACCCTACCGGACTCTATCAGAAATGAAATTGATGGTGAACTTGAAGCGAATGCCATACCTGCAGACGAGGCGCTATCGCAAGTTGTAAGCGATCAAGCTGAAGATGGATTAACGCAACATGAGAGTAGCACGAAGTTGGCCGAAAAAGTAGCTGATGTACTAACAGAGGGTGAGCATATTATTTGCTAATTTTAAGGTTTATATCCTCATATATACAATCTTTTTTTATTTTTCAGTAACATCCGCCAACTATTTTACCGAACCTCATCAGTCCGTGTTCGAAACAACAGAACGTTCCACAATCGCGCAAGCTTTGACGTCAAACGGTGACCGATCTTTGTCTGCCAGCAAAGCTCTTTCGATTTTCTTTCCTAAACCAGATGCAGAACCATCTTCAACTACATCGATGCCCGTAGGGGGTAGTGAAAGAGAACCGCGAAATTTCAAACAAATCAATGATAACGGCAATGTAGATATATTAAACGAACGTAGCGAGTCGGACAGCCAGAGCATGGCCGACACTGAAATGCAAAATATAGAGGAAGCTGAAAATGGTATAAAAGAGGAACCGCTCAGTGCAGGCAAAAGCATGGAGGCACCAAAATTAAACCAGAACTCCGAAGCTGCATTACACTCACCTGAGACTACCGAACTTAAAGAAGGAAAGCCCAAAACTTTGGACTTATCAAAAATTTACGAAAATATAATAACCCGACCCGATGAAGAAATGCAATATGATGAGTCCATGATTATTTTAGATGGCGATGAGAGCATTGACGACGAAGAAGAAGGAGAATCATTAACAAAGAACATAAATACTCCTCAACTACATCACACAGGAAGTACGGAGAGTGAATCACCAGTGGCGAATGTAACTGAACTAACGTCTGTTGTCTCAGACGAGCCGTCATTATCTATCGTTTTGAATGAAAATCTAACTGCTTCAGAGCCTATCAACGGCGCGGTTGACGATCAGTCAGTAGATCTCCTACAACTAGTTGAAACCGATCCATTGTTAACCGAGGACGTTGGCACAACTGTTGAGCCTGAAAGTGTAAAGAATGTACATGTTGTTATCAAGAAACAGGGCGTTGAGTTAGATGAAGCCCTAATGGGAGTAACACCTGTCGAGGTTTTGGAGGAAACAACCACTGTGAAGGTGTTGGTAAAGAAAATCGTAGATGAAAATGTGTTGACGACCGAAAAGACTTTAGTAACCCTAGGAAAGGATTTAAGCATTGAGAAGGAGCAAAACGATGATGCGGCGGAGGAGGCCAGCACAGATTTAGATGTTGCTTCTGAAGCTCGAGAGACAAATGAGGGAGAAGGCATTGTGCATAACAAAGAAATTAGCAACGAAGAGGTCAAGCTCAACAACGACAATAATCAAATGGATAGAGCAAATAATACACAAGCCGAGCAAGAAGAGCACGGAGAGCAGGAAGAGCAAAGGGAACAAGAAATGCAGAGTCAACAGGAAGAGCAAAGAGAACAAGAAATGCAGAGTCAACAGGAAGAGCAAATCGAACAGCAAGGAGAAAGCGAACGGGAAGCACAGAGCCAACAGGTTGAACAAAATGAACAAGAAGAAGAAAATACTTCATCTTCCATTGAGTTGAATACACAGTTTGAGGGAAAAGAAGAGGTGCTTAATGGAGATAAACAATTTTTCACACAAACAAACAATGAAATTGGAAATCAAGCGGATAAATCGACAACAACACCGAGCACGTTAGAAGAAGTGATTGTGCACGATGAAGCCGTGGATGATTTGAATGTTTTACAAAGCTCCACACAGGGCACGGTAAGTGCACAAGAGAAGGTAGAGAGCAAAATCAAAGCATTACAAGAAATTGAGAATAATTTCACTGATGAAGAGATGGTGAAAACCTCACATAGCACGTCAGAAGAGGAAGAGATATCAAAGGAAGATACCCAGAATGAAACGAAAGCTCCAGAACACTCTAGTGAAACGAAAGCGATTGCAAATGAAGAAACCGAAGAGAGTGTTAGTCAGGAAGAAGCCGAGGAAAGCTCTTCAGTGGAGACAGCAGCAGAAGAAGATGAGAAGAAGGAAAAGGCTTTACACAGCTCTACAGTGAAGGCAGTCACGGAAAAGGCACAGGAACAAAATTCAGTGTCGCGAAGCTCCACAGCTACTGAGCATACAGATGCCCAAATACACATCTCACTTTTCAGCACAACATCCATACCAAACCAAGAACTTGAACACACTTCTTCGTCCATTGCTGCCGCAACTGAGACACATACAACAGATCGAAAAGAAATTGAAACTTTCGAAGACGCAAACAATAATACTGAGGATCCAGACATTGTGCCGCTTCTGGTGGGTGTCAGCACTGGACAAGGTGAAGTCACTGCCTCAACCAAAGGTTCACGCTCCATTAATACACAGACTCATCACTCAATGTTGTTGACACAAATGGACGATGCCGCGGCTGCGACGCTTTTCGAAACTTTCCCCCCACACGACGTTGACCGCACAATGAATGATCACTTGGCTGCCGAAAGCAAAGCTGGTATTGGCAAAGTGACGTCCGCTGCACTGCTCAGTCGATCGGGCGTAATTATTACGGTTTGTACCAGCATTGCTTGCATGTTTCTACTCGCCTCGGTGGTCGCCTTTCTCATCTCATTCCAACGTCAGCATGGTACTTTAGATATTGAAATGCAGGAACAACGTTGTGGCAAAGATAATCTCGACGAGGAGGATGACGAGGTGGGCACATGTACGAAGTTGCTGGATATTGAACTGCCCAAGACGACGATAGTGAGCGCGTCGTCTGAGGAGTTGGAAGAGTGTTTGTAGAAAGCATTCTAATTTTGTAGTCATTTATATATAATATATGTACTCGTATGTATATTTGTATGCAGTTATTGGGCGCTTCGGTTGACGAGTTAATTAGTTATTTACTTAGTTAGTATAAAGACGAAAAAACAGACTGTAATTTTTATTTTTAGTAAAAATATTATATTATGCTGATATGTATTATGATTGTAGTACGCGTAGTTATGTATAACATTACCTTATTATTTGCCATATTTTTCATGTGAAACACACGTTTCCATTAATTGAGTTCTTGTAGAAAATAGAAATAAATTATTTCTCCATATAATTTCAAGCTTAAAATTTTGCTATGAATTTTTGAAAGGGGTTTGAGGTTCAAAAATAAGTTTTTTTCATAAAATTTTTAATATTTTCATATGCGGTCATTCGCCTTGTTTAGGTGCTGAATCACTTCAAATTCGAAACTCTTTTAAGTCAATATTAGTTAAGGAACTTTGCATTAACTTATTTCAATGAAATAAAATTAATTTGTTAAAAAATACAATAAAAATACAAAAATAAATGAATAAACAACGAAATAAATCTATTTTTCATATTTATTGATATTTATGATAGTATCAGCAGCAAACACTCAAAATCAATATTATTAGAAAATAAGTTGGAATCACTCTCCATTGGTGTCTAAGAGTGCTACAAATCTTGATACAAAAATTCGAAATTTTTGACACTAAACTTGTTTACTGAGGAATGTTTGATCTCGCCTCTTAGAAAAATTTCAACTTGGAGATTTTTTAATTATTTTGGGGTTATTTTCTAAGAAGATGCTATAATATTGAATACCCGCATGGACCTATTAAATGTATTTGGGGCAAGCCGTCTTTCATAAGCGGAAGATTTAAGAAAAGGGTTTGCTAAACACTTCTTATTATTAGACTTATAAGTTTACTCGACTCTATCGGAACTATCCATGGTTTGCGACTTTCTCATAGGGCCACTCCAGGGAACAGCGGGGCCGATGAGCTGACAGGATAGGGATAGCCATAGCCGTTCACAACCGTAATAACCGGTAAATTATGCGGTCCATTACCGATTTCAAGGAAATTTCTTCTTCGATTGGTCCTCCTGAACTTCTTAAACTACAGCCACTGGTTCGAGCATCTAGAAAGGTGATAGGAATCTTCTTCGTAGAACCGACATAAATAGGTATCATCAAGAGATCAGGGTTGCGTGATCGAACAAGCTGAATTCGCACTAGTCACGTTAATATAGCAAATCAAGCAAATCCTCATCTTATCGAATTCGATTTAAATTTTGATGGGCGAATCTCTTATCTTTCTAATACTTGTCATACGTTTTTATTTAAAAATGGTCGATGTTTTTTAAGAGAAGATGGTAGCACGAAAAAATCGAAACACGTTTAATGATAGATAGCTATAAAGCCGACTGCGAAGAGAGAATGAAACTACCTTTAAATTATTGAAAATCTCTCTGAGTAACATATTGGAGCCTTGGCTATTTTATAAGTTTGACATTTTGCTTAATTTTCGATTAGACTAGACTAGGCTGCACTGTCTGGCTATTGGCCCATATAGAGTGGCTTGATGCCTTGAATTGCCAGATCGAATTGGAGTCGTTATATACGATGATAATGGTTTGCGAAATTTGAGAGCACCCTGACGTCTGACTTTGATACATCCACTAGTTTTCTAAACTACGAAACCCTAAATATTCGGGTAGTTATCTTGATAAGGCCGTTTAGGTATAGAGGAGGTGTTGTAGCACATCTCTAAAAACTCCCTGATGCATCCCTACAATTCAGGCATATATCTCTGCACGTAACTTAATTTACACGAATTTGACGCCGATGGGTTTGGTTGTACTCTGTCATTAGACCTACAATGGTCCCGCAGTTCCTCTGAGCATCTGAGAGACGTTATTTCTTTGAATCCTAAGTAATTTCTTCTTAACTGAGTTCTGGAACTGTTCACAATAGATTAAATTTCTTCCCATTAAGATTAAAACCAATTAAGTTCGATAGGCAAGGGGTCTCTGGTTCTTCAAACCATCATATCTGGTAAGCACCCATCACAACAGTATATTTCCTGGACCTCCAATTAAAGGGTCTTTGCTCAACGACGACATATGAACGTTTGTGTTTTGCTGGTCTTACAAGAGGGGGATCTCATAATAGGCATTAATTGTCGTGGAATAAGTTCCATTTTCATAAGCTTACGTTGAAGAGGTTTGGTTTTCTTCATCTCCTTCAGTTTGGCTTTCTTCATCTCCTTCGGTGGTATAGCCACCTCTTTCGCGATTATAGCCGAATTGACAATAGCGCACCATTCGTCACTTCGCTTCGCAGTTTTACGTTGATTGGAACCACCAATTGAAACCAGACCGCTCTCTGTCTTATGCTTCTAATGCTGTGAATTTTATCTACTTCCACTGCTTACACCAGGAGTCACTGCATCGAAGACTTTCAAAGTTGGAATACTTTCATTCAATCAGAGGTCATGTAGTCGCTGTCAATCTTTTATCTCTAGCAGCTCATCGTTCATCGTCTGTTTTCTCTCAATAACTCCTAGTGTCATCTACTTGGACGTCGATATCGTCCACGCTTCTGCTCCGACGGAAATGATAAGCGACTTTTAGAGTTTGCTTTTGGTGTTCAACTTTGCGCTTTTAATCCAGAATACCTTCTTAAATTCTGCACCGGACTTGGAACCTTCCGTAACCTTCGTATTTGCATAGAATATTCGAAATCTCCTCCATTCGTCCAGCCTCTCAAACTATTTATATTCACGCATTTCACCTTTTTTGTCTGTTAGTTCGTCTTGCTTTTCTATTCACCTTTAGATGACTTTAACTACTGTTAAAGAACTAACAAGAGCTGCAGACTTCACAGATCGGTAATTTGTGATATTCTACTGGTTCGCGTTGGACAACGAAACGAAACAAATGGATTTGGATTGGAATGCTACAAGGCGGAATATTTCCAGCCTTTTTGACCCCCGTCACTGTTAACGATCGCTGCTTCAAAGTTGTAGACAAATTCGTCAGCCCTGAAACGCATCGCCGATCAGCGAATACAGAGGGGAAGCTCGAGTTTGTTTTAAGAAAGCAATACTGAGAGGTTTAACTGCTCTTTGCACACCTATGATGGTTAGGTGCGTCTTGATATTTTTCCTACAAATGGAGGAACCCACTGCTTTTAACCGCCTTCAAACGGCTGATGGATTTCTATGAAAAGATATTATTGATCATTTAGATATTGTTCTGGTCGGAATTTAAACCAACGACCTTCGTTTGGTAGCACAAGCTACAACGCTCCGCTCAGAGTTGAGTAGCGGCCTTCATTAGAAGAAAACGTGCATTACTTTTTGATCGATTACTTTTGAGACGAACACAATTTAACACTAAAGATATCTCACCGTTAGATCGAATCTCTACAGTTGATGAAGTTGATGCAAAAACTTAGCTACCATAAATTTAGATCGATAATGATGATATTGCGTATGTGAGTGAAGAGCCGCTTGATTGACCGAGCCAAACATTTGTATATATGTACATATATGTATTTATGTATGAATTTATGCTACCCCCATGCACAGTTTTGAAGAGGCACTAATTTCTTTTCCATTTATTTGTAGACACTCACAACTCAATGAGTAATGTTTAATTTGATTGAAATGATCATTATGCTGATATTTGAAAGACCAAACACCAAAAATACTTAACGCACAAATATGCTGTTTTACGGTGCACACGTAATGAAGCAAGTACAGTGCCATTGCGAGTGCACTTAATGCTCGGGGTATTTGAGTTGGTGGCGCAAACGCTTTTCCTACTTTGCAGTCTCTCTAATTGTCTGTCAATGCGCCCATATACGCTCATCAGAAAAGCATTCGACTGAAACTGCTTCAATTGCAAGTATTAAAACTATTGACGCACATTTACACATATATCTACATACATACATATGTATATTTATAAATGTACATGAGTCTGCCGCTCTTATAGGCATCCCTCAGAAATGTTCCACAGACCAAGCAACAACCATCCATCACTTATGGACACTCTGCATACATATATAAATGCGCATGTACTCGTTTAAGCTATACCATGGCACTGTGCCCACATGTCACATGGAAGATTTATCTAAAAAAGTACTAGTTAATTTCTAGAATTTTCTGACTGATATCGATCTAGTCCGAAAAATACCAAACTGACACTGTTTACTGATCAACTTTCTGTTTCAATTAATTTTTGTGACTTCATTTTTGAAATTAAACATAAAAAATGTGCTTTACAATGCTTAAAATGACTTGCTTTTAGTTTTATAAATATTTGGTTGGTTGGTTGAAAGTGGGGGTTGAGAACCTGACCGCAAGCAGCCGCATCTAAGTCACAACTAGGCTCATTGTGCTCCTCCGCATAACCTGACTATATATGATTATCCATTGATCAAGGTAAAGCGCTGCATTTAGACATCTGTCAAACCAAACATGTTTTGTTTTAGTTTAAAGTCCGGCATTGTTAAAAAACTAATACAAAAATGGTGATACAAATCCAAGATCCACGTTTCTTGCTTTACAACGAGATTATGTTGCACATTGTCATTGCCCAATTACTCAAGCAATTGGAAAAATTTTAAAGAAATTTGAAGGGTCTGTATGTGAAAGTATAGCTGAAACCCGAATGTGTCTAGTTCTCGTCGTTCTCAAAAGCTGGGACTTTCTTACGGCACATTATGGTGTATGTTGCACTTCCACTTAGAACCCCAACAACTGCGCGCTTGAAAAACAAGCAGTGGACGGCGATTTTTCGAACAATATTTCCTTCAGCAACGAGGCATATTTCTGATTTAGACCTCCAAGGAATATCAAATAATTTAAAAGAGGTCACTACACCTAAGAAAAACTTACTGTCTTTGGTCCGGAGATGTGATTTAACCTTAATTCTTTGGAAACGACAACGACGAGACTGCTACTGTCAATTCGGATCGTTCTGGTCTTATAATAACCGACTTTTTTTTTTTAGCCTGTAACAGGAGAATACGACTTAAACAATATGTGCTTTCAACAAGAAGCTGCCACATGCCACATAACACAAGCGAATATGTTTTTATTGTGAGAGGAATTTCTCTCATCCTGGTGACATAAATTGGCTATCGAAAACGTGCGTTTAGATACTGCTGGTCTCATTTTTGTAGGTCTAAGCGAAAGACTGAGTTTATGCGAATAAACCGTTAACTCTTGAGCACTTGAAAATCAACATTCGTTCAAGTTTTAGCTAAGAAACCGAAAAATTTAGGCCAAAAAGTGTTCGATAATTATCACAAA